CCAGCAGATCACAATCTTTCTAGATGTAATCATGCTTTAGATTCTTACTTCGAAATTTTAACAGGTAAAAATTCCCCATCTCGGTGCAAGATTGCATCATGAATTCCCTCTGCCTCGTACAGCGGGGATGGAAAAATACTACTTTTCATCCTTGCACAATGCTTGATGTAAGTTTCCGAAAATGAGCACTCTAGTAAGCCTAAAAATGTAGGATAATATGATTCATTTATAGACCTCTGATAATAGATGTGGTTTCTGTTACTCCGTTACCACATCAAGGATCACTCCTGCTCCTTCAGGAAGGACACAGCACCCTCCTCCTCCCAAACCATTACCATAAAGCGGGATAAACAACAAATACCACCTTATCATTAGCTGCATGGAACAGTTCCCATTGATTTATGACACTAAACACCACAAGGCTGGATCAAGCTGCAAGTCCCTTTTTTGCAAATATTATTTTCATGAGACTGTCATAAAATAGAAGGAGCCACCTCACCTGGGTTTGGTTTTGTTTACAAAAAAATGTTTTACAACTTGCAGGAATTCTTCCCAATATTAGTTATTAACAACCCCGAGATGGCATTTGCATTTTTATAACCTTGTTACTTAAAAGTGAAACAGTAGAAGGAAAGACTTAGCGACAGCGTTCCCTGCGTGCTTTAATCCCAGCCTGAGCTTTTTATGCTTGAGAGCACCTTATGATGCTGTAACTAACCTCAAACCTGGAGCAGCAGGAGGGCAACAAACCTCCGAATACAGCAATGTCATGCTTTACAGGCATACTCTCTGCAACAGCATGAATGAAGGGAAAAAAAAAAAAAAAAAAAGAGCCCCGTTGCCTAGGAAACACTCTGGTCTTGGTAATTATTACTGTAACTGTCTGCACACCCCACCTATAACAGAAATGAATAATAAATTATAATCACTGACTGGCAGCTTTCCGGCGCCGCTTTTGCTCAGCGCTGCAGCCTACCGGCGCGCGCGGGGGACTGCAGGCCGCCCCCCGCCGCGCGCGCCCCCGCCGCCGCGCGCCCCCCCCCCCCCCTCCACCGTGCGCGCCCCCGCCGCCGCGCGCGGGGGGCCGGGCCGGGCCGGGCGCGGGCGCGCAGCGCGGCGGAGCGGAGCGGAGCGGAGCGGGGCTGCCCCGGGCCGGGCGGTGCGGCTGCGGCCGCGGGGCGCTGGGGCTGCCACGGGAAAACCAGCTCGCGTGGAAACTGGAACGCTCGGGGTGATTTACTGGATTTGATTTAAAAGGCGCAGCGGGAGTTGGCAAAATTCACATATCATGGGGTTAATGCGGGTTAGAATGGAGCTATTTGTAATACAAAAATATTGCATACCAAATACACACATCTGATTTCTTTTAATCCCAGCTCATTTTTTGCAACATAAATCACTTTGTTAAAATGAACAGCTAAAACAGCTGGTTTAGACACTCTTGAAACATACAAAAATCTGCTGCTTTAGATGCTCCAAGTGAGCAATGAAAAGTGCTAAGTGCAACTAGTCTTACAGGAGAGGGAGGGAAATAAATCCAGTTTACCTCCAAACGCCCATCACGGACTCCGTCGGCCCCGGCCAGGCCTGCAGCTCCCAGCACCCACGGGCGGCCTTTTCCCTCGGCGTCTCCAGGCGGGATCGTCCTCAGCTTCGGTGGGGAGGCACCCCCCAAACACAACCCCTCCTCTAGGCACGGGCAGGTGCCTAACTTACTTGTGGCCAATTAAAGAAGATTAAACCATCAAAGTTGCCTCCCAATGAGGAATGGAACAGGTAATTGGTGGTGCATAATTGATGCAATCACGGCCCTGCGGAGGGCTGTGTGGGACTGTGGTGGGGCACGCTGGCTTGTCCCTGTTGTCATGCAGCGCCCGTGCGGGCTGCCGCCATCACCCCCACTTTGGATCAAGGACACCTTGTGCAGCCATGTCTTTCCCTGTTGTCTCTTCCCGCTGCATCCCCACCCGCCCGGGAAGCCGTGCCTGGTTGCGCTTGGCTGGCACTGCTCACCTGTGCCCAGGCAGGCCGGGGACACCGGGACAGGGCAGGGGACGGGGCTCCTTCCCACTAAGGACACACAAAAACCCTTGGGAAACAGGGAAGCACCAGGAAGAACCGAAACCCCTGCCTCGGCGCCATACCTGGAGCCCCGCGGCACACTCCCCGGCAGACGAGGAGCCCTCCTTCTGGCAGCAGCGGCAGGAAACGGCCTCAGAGGTGTTTAAAAATCGATTCAGCTGTACCCTTATTATTTAACTGACTAAAATCTCTAACAGCAGCATTGGGGGCACAAAGACACTCGTCTCAACAGATTAATTTACTAACAGGAACCCTATGTGCCTCAAACTTGGGGCACCATCGCTTCATCCTAGTGTTTGCTTCATCTGTGCATTAATGGTCGTCTGCATCCACTTGTTGGCTTTGGTGTTGCACAAAAAGCAGATTTTAAGTCCTTGCTGAGATGGGCCTTCCTGTGACCATTGTTTTATGCTGTCTAGGTTTTTATCTGCTTTGGTAAATTTATTTTTTTTAGCATTTGCAAACATCCTCCAGAAATCCTACAGCTGTCTCTTCTTGCTGTAGGCAGTGCACGCTGAACCTACGGGTGAAGTCCAAGCGAAGAGACCGAAGATGAAGGGCCATTGCAGCCTGAAAACCCTCCAACAATTAAATATACTGCAGAAAGGGCAGAGAAACAGCCAGGCTCCCTATTAGGGAAAACACTCATGTGCTTAGTTTTAAGCATGTGGTTAAATCCATTCTTCTTTGCAAAATCTTTGAGACATAAGCACATGCCAGAGTGCATTCCTGAGTAAGGATGCTTCCCTGAACTGAGGCCGTAATTCATTAAAACCCAAGGTGCATTTATCCTACTTTTTCCCGTGAGCAGGGATGTGAAAAAAGGGGAGGGGACAAAATAAAACAAGCAAAGAATTAATTTTGATTTGAAACTGATCTATGGTGACAAGGGGCATTTGGTTTTGTTGAAGTAACTAGAAGTGGGAAGTATTTCAGAAGGTATCTAAATAAATCTTTTTAAAGGGGTTCTCTCTCTCTCTCTCTTTCTCTCCTTTTCCCTCTAATTACCCATGTCTGGTAGTCTTGGATCTCAACCCCTTGTTATTTAAAATACATATTCATGGAACTATATTTTACAGTTGCACTGTTCTGGTTACAAAATAGCTTCTACTTTTCTAGGACATAATTTCATTTTGTTTAGCCAAGAATTCATTAAAGAAGCTATAAATAACCTCCTTTAAATATTTAGCCGTGAATAGAGGGTGGACTGGCATTGATGGCTTATTTTAGTACTAATGCAATATGCTTTAAAAAAAAAAATCCACATTTGAGTATGAATCAAGTTAATCATTAACACTTTCAACGTGATTTTCAGGATCTGCTTAAAACAGAGATTTGCCCCCTCCCTGCCAGCGAGCTTCGGGCACAGGAGGGTTGTACAACTTCCCCTTCAGTTTTTCTTTAAGCAAAACACAATTTGCACTGTATCATGGGGAAAACGCGGCCCGCAGCTTTAGTGGGCTGCTGCCCCAGGCAGGGACCCCGGCTACCTGCCCCTTCGTGCCCTCCTGCTGCCACCCACCTCGGCCAGCATTTTCTGCCCATGAAACCACGCCACCTTCCCAACCACAGAGCAGAGAACATCAGAATAAGGAGTGCAGCCTTTTTTACAAGCCACCTTTGAAAAATCAGTCCCTATGCCTCCCCCTCCCTTTTAAGCACACAAAGTGTTGAAAAAGGGGCAGTCGGTGATTCTGTTTTAATGCATGTAGCTGCCCTATGAGCTCATCTGCTGTCATCTGAGAGCCAAGGAGATGAGCACAAGGTGCAATTATATTAGGGGAAAGTGAGGAAAGGGCATTAGCTGATGCCCTGTTCATGGATGGACAAGATTTAGAAAACCAGATGCTGGTGGCTCTCAGGCTGCATGTTTACAAAGCCAAAGAACTGTGGCCAAAAGCAAATCCTTCCTTACACCCCTCAAGAATTTTTGCCTCACTTTTTAGGCTGTGGTTTGATGATGTCAGCTGGAGACTAACATCAGTTTAAGGTACTTCAGCTCCCCATGCCCTCTGCCAACGTTTTCCCTTGTCCTTGCTCAACACATTACCCCTCTAACTGTGCTGATACAGACATGCTGAGAAAGAGATTAGGAAACTTGCTAGCTTCAAAAAAACACACACAGCTATTGAAAAAAAAAAAAAAAAAACAACAAACAAAACCAAAAACAAACCCAAACCCAGTAGTTTGTTTTTTAAACCCAGCTTCGTCGCCTATTATCATTCAAGTGGTGGCCCCAACAAAAGCTGTGTCAGCACAAGGGAGGCGATGGCAAGAAGACAGGAAGGAGCTGCTGGGCAGGGACTCCTAAAGCCAGGATTGCTCTCAGTCAAGAGAAGGATACACAAAACTGTACCCGGAGTGCTGCAGTGCTGTTGCATTTTGAAATAAAGTTGAAGCATTAAGACATTTTTCCTTAGTGCTGACTCCCTCTGGGCATTCCCAAGACAATTAGAATGTTTTCTGAGTATACAAAAGAACTAGGAGATTTTGTAATCAGAGTCTGAGTTTATGCTTCTCTCCTTAAGAGCATTCAATTTCCATGGACATTCATTAGCAGGAGGTTAAAACACAATGGCAGAAGAGAATGGACTACTTTTATGTCCATGTGGTAGTAAACACTTCAAGCTAGAAATGCAAGTTCAAAATAAAAACCTCTCCGTGTTGTTTCCAAATTAGTAGTAAAGCAACAAAAAACACAACTTTCACAGATTTTTTACTGAAAATTTAATTTTACAAAATACCCTTTTCCATCAAAGAAACTTCCCTGCAATGTACATGAACCCAGCATTTTATAGATCTGTACAGTGAGATATCAGAGAGGTTTGAAAGAAGGAAAAAAACTTTTAGCAGACACCTAGTTGCAAAACCTACAGCAATGTGAATACAAGTGTGTCTTAAAATGCTAAAACAAGTAATGCAATATAATTGGTGAATCTATTTGAAATGTGAAAAGTTTCCTTAAAATGGTCCATATGGTATGTAGAACATCACAGCTGGCACAAAACTGCCTGTATTTAGGTTTAAACACAAAAACAATGTATGTAAGGAACAGTTTTTGAAAAAGAACCCAAGTGCTGCTATCATAAGGCAAACATATACAAAGGTGCTGACAGCACACAGGGATGTCAACAAAATAAGATGAATACTCAAGTGCCCAAACACTGAACTTTTTTTTTTTTTTTTAATGTTGCCAATAAACGTTTAAAAGATAACCAGTGCCAAATTAACATAGGACACCCTTTTAACTAGCTAGGTGTAACACACACAGTTTTACATAATCTCAACAAGTGTGAAACTAGGCATGAGTTCTCCAACTTCAGCTGGCTAGGCAGGACCTAGTTAGTCTGTTGCATTCTGGCAGCTTTGAATTTTGAAATCCTCTTTGTAGTTTCTTCTGATGCTTCGGACAAAACTTCCTCTGATTTTCGCTCCAGAATGGTAGGCAGGACTGGGTGAGCAATGACTGGGTGTGGTATTAAGGAGGGAGACAAAGGCTCCTTTTCTATAACAGTCCCGGAAAATGCCTACAACAGAAGAGAATACTCAAAATGAGCTAATAAAATGCAAATGTGAAGCTATGCCCATAAGGTCATTACCCTATATTAGCCTGATTAGGATTGTTATTTCTTTTAATCAAAAGTAAAGAAATATCTTTAAATCAATGATTATTCCTTGCATAAGTAACCAAATTGTAATTAACCTCAAAATATAGCTTGTTCAAAGATGACTGAATGAAAGACAGTGTCTTAAAAGTACTACTTAATCTCATTCCTACTGCATAAATGATCTAAAAATTTGTTTCCTCACTGACACATGCTCAAGAAATGAAACAGCTGATGTAATATATAGCTTCAATTTGGGTAAGAAATGGAGAGATTTTGCAAAGTTGGAGTATGTCAGCATTTCCATCATACGTCATATTTTATGACTTAATATCTTCTAATTGCATCAAGCTGACACACTGCATACAAACTGGCAAGCATATATTTTGTTTGTTCTTTTCTCCTTACCAAATATGATCAAAAAATGGTGAAAGCAATTTATACTTAAGAGAACGGCAAACTTGCTTCCAACAATTTCTCTCTAAAAGGTCTAATAAAAACAATTAATGTTTAAAAATGGTAATTTATATGCAGCTGATTACATGACTCAATCCTTTTTAACTTAGCTAAGAAATGACCGTGATTCTTGGAAAACATTAAAAAAAGAGCAACTCGGAACTACTTTTCATAAACATGCTTAAGAACAAATCACACTACTATGTACTGAAAACAGAAAATTCAGAATGCCTAAGGACAAGGGGAAGAACTTTACATTCAGAGTTTGATGCTGATTTATTAACACAGATTTATTAACTATGCTTAGTTCTGCTTTTTCATAACTTGGTTACCAAGAAAAACAAATCAAAACAAACCAGCCATTCCTTTCTTGCAGGACCTGCAAAAAAGCAGTGTTTTTTTGTTTTCTGCTCCAATAGCCAAGGTATGCCTAAAGCCATGCCTGTACACAACTGCGTTGTTCCAACACACTCATTTTCAAAAACAGGTAAGCAAAATACAACCTAAGAAGATTGTGGTAAAATTAGAAACAAAAAAAAAAAATTAGTGTGTTGCAAATGCTAATGGAGAAATAATGTATTTCAAACACCCATAAAAACAATCAAAAGCAACCCAATAGCATTTGAGGCATATCTAACTGGAGTGTTTTGCTCCCTTTCCTTCAGTTACTTAGAAAATACATTATATTGTAGAGAATAATCATGCCATATTCAGAAAATGGACTAATGCGTAACACCTCAAGTGCGCTTAGATGTTTTATAAAAATATAGCAAATATATTCCAGAAAACAATGTGAAATGCTAACTCTACAGATGGATCTTCCACCATGAATCTTCACATCCTGCCTGATTCGTCTCTAGCTGTTTGTATGAAAAATGATGACAAACAATAGCTTTTATAGGGAATTCATTTCTTGTCAAAAATAATTTTTCTAAAAATAGTGTTTTCATTGAACTTACCCGTTGCATTGGGAACTACTGAAAACTCAGTTTCATCTAGTTTTAGATTCTTACAAAATAAAAATTAAGAATACTCTATGCCATGAATTTCAGAGCAGCAGCTACATTTAATTCTCGTACTCATCCAGTCACTAAGCAACTGTACATTTTTCCCTTATGTCGTACAGTCTCTTTCCTTTGTGATGAAGTCCTGAACTTTCCCAATGTGTGAAAACAGATTTGTTAGGACCACTAATGGCCCTAGTGTGGAATAGGATGAGTAGAGGTGTAAAGGGCAATTCCTCTGCCTTTGGCAAGCCCAAATAATAACATATCATCTATCTGGGTGTTTTAAAACTTAAAATCACCACCTGGAAACTAGCTGTCTGGTAGCTGTGCAACACAGGTTACAGACAACCAATGCTTCCCTCTCATCAACTATGAAGCACAGATTTTTATCCTCTTTTTTTTTTAATCCTGCTATATAAACTGCAGTGAAATTTTCATAGTGACCCAGTAGACATGACACTGGTTCCAGTAACACCAGCAAGTGACTACTTTGTCATATCTTTACAGAGGACATTCAGGTCTCGGGGAAGCCACCTGACTCGTCTCCCCGCTTCTGCCCCTCAGATGTGTATGACAGAAGCTTGTCACCTGGTAATGTCCTTCCGAAACAAACTAGGTAGGAGTTAGAAAATTATTTTAAAGAAATCAAACTGATGGTATAGGCAACTACAGTCATTAGATTTCTCGTTTTCATCCCTGCCAAGAATCAATAATTAATTAAGAACTGTACCTCGGTTGTCCCTGAAGAGGGAGGAAGCTTTTTTGGTAGCTGCTGCTGCCCCTCCTCCTCCTCTTCCTCCAGTATGCCTTCGCTGTTGTCACTCTGAGTAGCTTCATCACAGCTAATACTCCTCTGAACTCCTCGTCTGTCATCAAACTCAGCAGCACTGTTCTCACTGGTATCGCTACAAACACTGTTCTCTCTGCTTCGAGACTTCAAAATTGATTTACGAGGGACATATTCTCCATTCACAACATCAACAAAGACTCTATAAAGGAAAATGTTAGCTTTAATAAACCATTTCAGGATCAGATGACAAATTTACAGTGATCTTGCTTTGTCTTTTGTACAAATTAATTATGATGTGCTTTTCCAACTTTTTCGTTGCAAAATTACAATACTGTACCTTTAGAGGCATTTTATTTACCAACATACAAGAATCAATTCTGCAGAGCAAACACTGTTATGCCCTTTATTCAAGCATTAAGTTGGTACACTCTTTCAGCGGAAAATGTATAGCTCTGGAAAGTGTTAGAAAACAGAATAGTGTGAGTTACAAGAAGTTAGGAAAAAGGTAAACTAAATGATTGTCAGGGTTGCTTCTGTAAAGAGAAATGGAAGATCACAATGACGCAAGGTTTTCTGGAATGAAGTCCTTGTCAAATGTAGAATGTAAGAAGAAATACTTGAGACATGCATTGCACATGGAAAGGATGAAGCTTTTCCTGACAAGTGCTATAATCTTCTGCTTTCAGTTTAAAAAAAAATAATTTAAAAAAATCAGCTTTTAAGATCAGATCAACACAATGACACTTTTCAAGTATTAACAGACTCTGAACTGATAAAGAGGCCTCTTCCTACAGTTTGTACTCCATCTCGGTGACTTAAAACAGTCAAGGATGGGTGGAGGAGAAAGAGTGGCATTAGAAAACAGCGCCAATTTCATCAAACTCATAAAGGAGGAGCCCAATGACTGGATGAGTTTTCAGGGTGTTACTTGTTTCTTAACAGCTTTATTCATCAGGCACTCATGGGAACACTTGCATATCTCTACAGAAGATGAAGTTCCTTTGCAGAACTCAGGGAGAGCGCCACGAAAGAATCCTTTAGCTTCAGCTGCAGCCCCAGAAACTGTAATTACAGGAGGGGTTTTAACTTTTCACACTTTGTGACGCATTTTTTAAGATATTTAGGTGCCTGAATACACCAACATACAAATGCAGTGTGATTTTCACAAGCACTTAATCAACCAATCTAATAGGTGTCTGTGTTCATCTTTACAAACCTAAATACTTGTTTTAACTCTCCTGTCACCTTAGTTTACTATTTTATACAGTCCTCTAAGCCCCACACAGTTTTTTCTAGCTCTCTGACTGTGGGTGTTCTACAGGTGAGCACTTCTTTTTACAGAGAATAGAGACAGTGATGAAATAAAGTCAGGGAGGAAAGGAGGAGAATTACAAGTGATAGATGTGGTCAGTTATGTCTGAAAACAAACACAGAAGCAAATGACATGGCATTAGCAAGAATGCATAAGGTAACTGCTGTATTCCTTTATGCAGATTATATGTACTGGTAAATTTACCTCAATTTCAGAAGCTTTGAAAAAGTAGAGAAATGATGAATTGCTGGTTGGAAAAGGAAATTTTAAGCTCAGAAATGTTTTATGGTTATGAAAGCATGGCAACCATGCAGAAGCCACAAACTTTCATTTTTAAGTAGTAAATTCAGTTCCAGCTGTTTCTCTCAGGAAACAGTAGGCTTGGTTTCATACTATAGATGAACAGAAACGAAAAGAGAAGGTCTGCTAAGAGGAAAGCTCACGCACCAATGCTATAAATTACACACCGGTAAATGTCTGCTGGCGTTTTGATGTTAGGTAGTTCTGGAGTTGTGTGGCCATTGCCATTGCTGTTCTTCCTTTTACGCTTGGCCTCTTCTTTCTTTTCACTGAATTTCAAAGTAGTATTTTTTCCTGTGTTTATTCTTACCTGAAAATTAAACACAAATGATGGTCTAGACCATGAAATCAGCAGTCACCAGGCTGCAGATCACCCAACTTCTGACACTCCCCTATCCAAGTAGTCAGGGACTACAAAGCACAGGTAAGTTAAACAGATGTTTGAATAGTAACATTCATAGTGTAAACTGTTTATTCTTTACCACTTGCACTAGGCTGGGGCATTTCTTTGCACTAATGTGCATAGATTATGCATATAACATATGACAATCTGCTTATTCAAACTCTGCTCAACAGCTGAGCTGTTCAACAGTCAATTTCAAGTCAAGAAAAAAGTCATTTTAAAAACTCCTAGACAGGAGACTACCTTTGACAACAGCCAGAAGCCAGAGCAGCAAGGTATACATCTGAAGACCATTTTTTTAATACCCTATTTGAAATTGCAAGATTTAAACAGTGGGTTTCAAGCATTTGAAAAAGATCCAAACAAATGTCACCTACAGTTAGCACTCTGCATTACCTACATTATCTAAAATTTTCTATTTTAGATATGGTATGTATGTTTTATGGAATCTCTTGAAAGAAATACAAAAATAATAAAGTACAAACCCTTTTAGGTTCAACAGTGTGAGAGAAAAAAATAGTTGGAACAGAGTTATCTCCAACATCTATGTCATCTTCATCACTGTGATAGTAAGTAGAGCCATTAACTTGACCACCAAACAAGTCTGAATTTGTTATTTCTTTATGGAAGTTGCCCTGAGTAATACAGTCTTCTGCTCTATACGTCCCATTCAGATCTGTCCTCTTATCTTCTTTCTCCTCTTCAGAGGAGGTTGTATCTTCTCCATTTGTCTCAACTGTATCAGGCGCCCTATGAAATGAAAAATATCTAAGTGAACTGAGGCAATTCATACTCTTGAGAGACAGAGGCATACAAAGTAATAAACAAGCCTGTACATAATTTTCTTTACCCAGGCACTATATTTTTAGCCAGATTGTGGAACCTTTTTTATACTCTGTAAGAATGACAATGTCCTTTCCATGTCAACTGGAAATACCATAACTGTGACATTCTAGCTAATGACGTAAGTATTGCTTTAGGATCAGAATAGCTCTAAGGATATTATTAAACACTAAATGTGTAACTCCTATATTGTAAACAATGGATTTTCCTAGATTTTGGGAAATGGATTTTACTTCCCCCTTTTCTATTATCTTAAAGAAAAAATACTATAATGCTGGACTTCTGTGGTTGCATAGAGGCACCTTTGGCCTTACAGTGCATGATTTGTTCATGTTCCACCCTATTTCCACCTAGTATAATTTTAACTGCATCGGTCTAGTCAGCTATTTGCAATTACAGTGAGATCCTTTGTGCACAAACAGCATCACACACCTATAGCTTTCTGAACTCCAAACCTGACTCTGCCACAGAAGCACTATACCTGTCAAGTTCACCAAGTATCTCTTCTTGTCTCTCGAGCTCTTCTAAGCGGGCCCACAGTTCCTCCTCTGACTGAAAACGGCCCATTGATTTTGTATCACTTCCATTTGCTGGAAAATCTACCTCAAAAACATTTGATACTTTTGGCTTTGAATGAGGTTTGTGAGCAGTTCGGTATTTTCCTGTGTAACAAAAAATAACATGCAATTACTAAAACAATTGACAAAAAAAAAATCAAAAAACATTGGGGAAAAAAAACCACATAGGAATTAAGGAATATGGGCAGAACATTTTCCATTTCAAATTATTGTTTAACTGTTTAAGTGAAACTGTCAATGAACCAGAGCACCAGCACAGGATAATAGTCTCCGGATGTTACAGAAATACTGAGGCAAAGCAGAGATGTTTATTTATAAAGCAGGAGAAACTGGTCCTATGACAGTTTTATTACAATGTGGGGTTTTTTACCTCTTGTGACAAACAGTAGACTTTGATTTGCCCTAATACATACCAACAGGTGAATGTGACATTTGCTTACTGTCCCATTAACAGCACATTTGATTATCTGGGAGAACAAACCTACTTTGTACTTTAGTTCATTTTGGATAAAGTCACCTATATTTAAAGAGCAGAGTCTTTCTGTTTTGAGTTGTATTTTTTTAAATTTACAATGAAGATCATTAAAAATAATCTCGAGAGTCATCTGGAAAATCTGACCAAAATCCAGTCATTATGAATCACTTATTTTGGTGAAAAAGACCCATTCTGAAAAAGCATACAAAAACCTGCCTTTCAGAAATAATAAATATAAACCCCTTTAAAGCTTCAGAGGTGACCTGAGCTATACACTTGTGACTAAATAGTAGTCACCGACAAGTTCTTGCTGGCATTTAAAAGCTTTGCTACCTAGCAAAATGGTGCATCCAGTGAGGATGGGGAGCACTTTTTACTGTTTGAGTGCTGTCTAGCACATAGGGAACAAACTCCCTCCCAACAATATTAATGCTCTAGCCCTGTCTGTGTGAAGGACAGGGCTGCTTCTCTAATCCTCCTTCTTCGTGAGGCCGGCAGCTCCCGGGGGCACTGCCTGCTTCCACGCGGTCCCAGGCAGGTTCCCCAGGGAAGTTCCCCACTCTCTGCCCATCGGCACCCCCACGCAGCACCCGCACCTCTGCACAGGAGTGGGGGCCCTTCCCCAGCCATCGCTGCCACAAATATTTTGTCAGTTCAGTGGGACTACAGTATCTCTACGGGTCTTTATGAAACTCTGATTTGTACATCTAATCAACAGTAATACAATGTCTTTGTTATTCAGCATCCTTCAAATTTTAGAATCTCCCATTAACCAGTTGTGTGGCCACTTTTTTTTTTTTTTAATTTTAACAACTCATGGCTTAAAGATATCCTTATTCAAATACATCAGCTTATACTTTAATCCTGAGTTAAATACAAATTCAATAGCAACATTAAAAAGCAAACAGGTGACTGTAAGTAACGCTGGAATGTGTGTCCCCTACTCTTCCACAGGATAGCATTTTTCATCATCTCATTATGAAAAGGCTGAAATGTATTTTATTGAGATTTGACTATAAATTGAGGTAAGACAAGCAATCAGAGTAGTTTGTGAGGATTTCATTTGGTATAATTACAAAATTAATAAATAAAATTTGGAAGGATTAGTTAACAATCTATTTCAATTTGATTTTCAGATTGTGCCCTCCCAATTTCTTTCTGTTACCCTTCAGTATTAACCATTGACTTGACTACCAATGTTAGCACATGGCTTCCTAAACACCAGCAAACCCTTCAACATGCCAGTGGTTTTCCCTCCTGAATGTAACAAAACTTCTGTCAGCTTGGAAACCAACTCAGATCTCAAAGACAACACAGGAAACCACTTGCTGCTCCAGTACCCACTGTGCTCACTCTCTGTTACTACAAAGCACCACTATTATCTTCATATATTAACCAAAAAAAAGTGAAATATTAAAATCCAGAAAAATTGAGAGTAATCCATAAACTATTGAGATGCTCAGGATACTTGCTTTTGTCTTCCTCAGAGATACAGACCATTTCCATGTGAACAAAAACAAGTCCTAGGCTTACGAAGCCCAGGCTGCCTCAAAATAATCGCTAAATTGTTCTTTTAGCTACTTCTCTCTTAATCGCAGTACAGACTGGTGCTGATAAAAAACGTATGTAATTCCCACTTACAGATTTTCAGCAAACACTAACATGATTTCAGAGAACAATAATGATGATGGAAGCTTAGGGTACAATAAAGCTGCACAAAGGTTGACCTGGCATCCACAGCATGCTCCTGTATTAACACTGTTACAATGGGATGCGCTTCCCAGAACGTTACCCCTATTTTGCAACAACATCTAACCATAATAGAGACACCCCCTTAGTCAGCCTTGGCATATAAAGAGTATTGTGATTTATTCCAGAAAAATGTAATGAACTGCCCATCTTAGCCCTCTGCAAATCACAAACTACTACTCCTTCTCGAAATGTCCAAGTGAGGCTGTTTTCAGACTGTAAAATTACTTCTTCCTCCAGCTTAGACTGCCTGAGTCTTACCTATCCAGCACCACTTCAGACAACACAGAAATTATCCAATTCCTTAGCACAGCTATCTTTGTTTCCCAGTGTCCTCTCCAGAAATCTTCAGGAAGTATCTGCTTCAGTACATCTGCAAGACCTGCATGCTGACATCGTTTTCACATTTGTTTCACCGACAGCAGTGAAATGCCCCAGTGGATGACGACGTTTACATTGTTCGTTTATGTCCCATCCCTGTCCATGCTTCTTTCCCTCCCTGCTGACACTGCTCACATACTTCTCCGGTAACAGGCAGAGCCTGAGTTTCTCCAGTATTTATTCTGTTTTAAAACTCACACTTCTATGAAAAAAATGTCTTCTCTAGTTCACTCTCCAGGAGCCAGCCTATTTTGTTTTCTGCCTCTCTTCTACAAAACTTCAGACTCCCAATGTAGTCTCTTCAAAGCAAAAAAACCCTGAAATATGTTTAGCTGATGGCTACCAAGGGATGCCACAGAATCCCACAGTGAAATTGAGGGACAAAATCCATCTTACCTTCAAATCAGTAATTTTTAATTTGAATAAAGCCATTTTTTAAATGTAAAATATACAGTGAAATGGAATAATTTAGTCAATCCCACATAAGGAGTATTAATCCTACAAAAGGAGTATTTTGCTTACTATGTTTATTATTAAATCATTTACCTTTTGTTTCAATGCTATCATCTTCAATTTCTTCTCTTATGTCAACAAAATCACCTGCAGCCTAATTAGAAAGATAGAAAGTTAGGATTATTAAATACACTGGTTTATGCTTATTAACAGACCAGATATTTTTAAAATAATGCACAGAAGCAAATGCAGTGATACAACAGAAATAACTACATTATTTATACTCTTTTATCACTCTGAATAGCCATCATTTTCCAGATTTTTAAAAATATTACAGAATCAGGTTGAAAGAAAACAAGACACTTACATCACTCATTTTCTGCAAATCTTCTGTGAATTCAACTCGTGATTCAAAATTCTTCATGACTTTTTGTAAATCATCCAGTGCTTTCCTTACAT